CTCATTTTTATGTAGGAATCAAAATATTTAGACAGAATGCATATATAATTGAATCAATATCGTTCAGACATTTATGTGAGGACACGTACTGTTGAACCCCCTAATCTTAAACCACTGCAATATGATAATAACTAGCTTTTTAGTGCCTCCTCTGTCAAGTTTAGTATATCATCTTTAAAGGCCCCTCATAAAGTACAACTCACCTTGTTTTTCCTATAATGATAAGAATAGTATCAAATGAATTTTCATCACAGGCACCAAAAATTAAAGAAGGTTTCAAGTATATTAATTGGTAAAGTTTGTGTCATATTACTCTGCATCTTTTAAGCTTATTTCTATCCGTTTTTGTTTTTTCCCATCCTTAATCGACTCCTCCAACTCTCCAATTCCAGATAATCTTCCAATCACATCTGTCATGAAAAAAAGTATGCCATTTAATCACATGTCATTAAGAAAAATAGACCATTAAAGATTAAGATAGATCAAAATAGATAAGTTAAACTTGGTAATTGCCCTACTTTAATTTGATTGGCAAGTGTTTTTTCCAAAAAAAAAAGCAATAAGATTTTAATAGATAAAAAAAGATTAAAATAGGACATTATCAAATAGAGTTTTTTGAAGAACAAATTTAAAAAATTTAAATACATACTAATTAAGTAATTATTATTCGTTGCCTCTCTATCTACAATATTTGAGATGTTAATAAAATTGAATCCAAAATGATGAATTGAATCTTGTCAAATTTCAAATAATTGTTGAGATTTATGAGGATAGATTTAAATACTAATAAAAAGTACAAAAGGTTTTCAAATAATTGTAGAAATTCGATCACCCTATGATGAGTTGATTATTAGAGTAATACTTAATCATAAATTAATATGAAATATAAGAACAAATAATACTATTCAGGAACATGACAGATGCAATCACATTGTTTGAATTTCACAAATATTTTTTATGCAAGGTTAATTTAATAATACCAAATGATATTATAAAAGTTCTCTAACAAATAATGATTTCACGAATTGCGCAAGCTGTTGAAAACTTTACTAAATGAAAGGTAATTAATGGAAACTATTAAAATGTTGATATTTTATAGTTCAAACATGCTGTTGACAATTAAACTTTACTAAATGAAAACTTCACTTACATTTTTAACAAATGCATACTATTATATTTTGTATTGTATGAATAAAAGGTAATTAATGGTGAATTATTGGAAATAAATATTTTTATGAACTATGATGTTGGATATAAATATATACACAGAACCTGAGCATTGAGTTTAGCCATAACATTAGTGAACATGACATATGCGATCACACTGTTTGAATTTCACAAATATTTTTTATGCAAGGTTAATTTAATAATACCAAATGATACTATTAAAGTTGTCTAACAAATAATGATTTCATGAATTGCACGTGCTGTTGGAAACATCATAGCAATATAATTGCAGCAAAAAGCATAAATCATATCCAACACCTTTTTTTATTAAAAAAACACGAATTATTGATAAATAATGTACAGCACTAAGAGACCCTCAATTTTGAAATCATTATATATTTTAAGGCGATACAACCTACAATAACATTGTCCCATAGATAGGATAAGTATTATATATTAGACATAATTAAGGAGATCCAAAAAATAAAATGTATAAACACTTACTCCAGCATCCTAGAAGACCAATTTAACATCATTGGATTCTTCGAATGTATTTCTACCTGACAATCTTCAGATATGAATCACCCTAACCATAATGCGCCAAACTTTTTTTGTTGTGTTGATAGCACGAATAGCACGAATCTCAAAAATAGAAGCCATGGGTAATATGAATAATGATGGAAAAGAGAATGAACTTAACGCAATAAATTAGAAGAGTGACTCTGATGTGAAGCTGTAAAATATTCTATTAGCCTAACCTAGTAATTTATAATTGAATAAGGATGATTTAGAAGGAAAAATTAAGAGGTTATTTAAAAAAAATCAAAATGATAGATATTAAAAATTATTTTATTCAATGTAGATATTTAAGGAATTTAGATTTTACCAAACTTAAATACATGAAATTAATATATTTTGAGTTCCAAAGTGCCTCGTGAAAATCTAATCTGTGTGTGTGTGTGTGTGTATTTAGATATATATTAAACTAAATATACATGTCTCAAAACTCCTTCATAACATATTATTTTTAAAATTTTAAATAGGTAAAAATCAAAATTTTTTGAGTCTCACGGAATTATGAGTGTTGAGCCTAGCATTAATAATTGAGAATATATTATGTCAAATTTCAGATACTAATAAAATTCATATTTATAATTGTTGAGATTTCTGAGGATAGATTTAAATAGTGAATTTTTTTAAAATTTTTAATTTAAACATATATGAATTAATTTAAATTTGAATCTTAATATATATATCTGAATAAAAATACCTTAAATATTATGAACCTAAAATTTTATAATATATTTAGGTTGGATAGAGTGTTTAAATAGATAGATATTAATTTAAATACACATATAATCAGATTTAAATTTTAAATAGGTAAAATATATTTTTAAACACATAATACTTTTCTAAATATTTAAACAGATATATATTAATATAAATTTTAATCATAATATATATATGTAGTATATAGACATGGAGTTATGCGTGTTGAGGTTAGATATAATAACTGTAAATATATTATGTCAAATTTTAGTTACTAATAAAAATTATATTTATAATTTTTGAGATTCAAGAGGATAGATTTAAATAGTAAAAAAAATTTAATTTTTAATCTAAATAGATATGTATTAATTTAAATTTGAATATCAATATATATATATATATATATATCTGCATACAAATACTCTAAATATTATGAACCTAAAATTTTACCATATATTTAGGTTTGATAGAGTGTTCAAATAAATAAATATTAATTTAAATACACATATAATCAAATTTGAATTTTAAATAGGTAATAATAAATTTTAAAACACATAATATATTTGCATACAAATACCCTACAATTTTTCTATATGTTTAGATTAGATAGGGTGTTTAAAGTCTTACTGCGTCAGATCTAAATTATAAGATCTTTTTTCTCAATTAAATTTAGTCCAAAATATATAATGCTTGGGATTTTTTAGAAATTATATTTTTCAATCATCCATTTTTTGTTATTAATGTGGCTTTCTTTTACAGCATCGGAAATGTCATACGTTTCTCACTCTTGATCATAGAGAAACATACAATCAAGAGTGTGAAATTAGCACTTTTTTCTCACTCTCACCTTTTATCTTCTATATATGTTTAAGTTGGATAGAGTGTTTAAATAGATAGATATTAACTTTTATTGATATGATCCTTATTGTTTAAAGAGAAGATAACACAATTAAAATATGTTGACATAAACTATAAAATATTAATGGCAACCATATAAATTGATGAAGTGTAATTGCTGATAAAAAAAAAAGAAAGCATAATTATTTAGATAAAAAAATTCATAAATGTTAAAATATAAAATGACAAAATGTAGCTCTGTGGATTATATAAATAAAAATTAAATTAATTTAAGAATTAATTTATTCACATTTAACTGCATATATACATCAAATAATCAACATGCTTTACACACATTAAATTGATTATTTTGAGTTAATTTATATTTTAGATTGGACATGTGGCATTCTCTCGTAGCCTTTAACCCAACTTTTATATATATAATAATTTAAAAATAAAAAATTTATTTTGAAAATAATTGCTATATTTTTCTTATCAAAAATTCATTTGAATATATTTTATTTCATAATGATAGTTGATTTAAAAAAATCTAGTAAAAAAGAAAATCTTGATGAAACCAATGAAAATAAGAGCAAGAGAAAATTTTAGATAGAAGAAGTGAGGAAAAAAAAATTCTTCTCATTCACTTTGATTCATCAGCATGAGTGCAAGATTTTGAAGAGGGCTTTTATCATTAACCTTCAAATCATTAAATACTTTTTTTTTGAATGGAAAGGCAAGCCTGAGGCTTGGAGAAAAGTACAACAAATTAAATAATGTTTAAGTTATCCTCACACAATATTGCATGCAAAACAGGGGGTATTATATGAAGGAATTTAACTTTTGTATCAGTTTGATGACTATTTTATGCCAAATCATCAGCACATTGCAAACTTCTTGATAAGCATGATGAATTTCCACCTTTTTGTTGCTGTAAACGAGTTCTTGTATATAATTAATATCAATCCTTCAATAATGATTAACAATATAGTTTTATAGTATCATGTTAATGGCATTCAATGTGTCAAAGTATGGAATAATTCTGCTAAATTCAAGTTGGAAGGCAACCTCAAGTCTAGTTTTGATGGCCATCATTTCTACAAGCACAATTGGAACATCTCTTAATGGACGTGTAAATCCTCATGAGGTGGATTTGCTAATACGTGATAAATTACACTATATTTCTCTACTAACATTATAGGAGTAATGTAGATTTTTCAAAATCAAAGAATCATTGACATATTTGATATATATGAATAATCTTGTATTTAATAACCTAGATTCATGAACAGAGAGAAATAAAACGAAGTAATTCATGAAAATTATGATCTATTTATTTGAATTATAAAAAATATAACGTCTATAAAAATATGATAATATTTATAACAAACTAGTAAATTTTTTGAAAGAGGAATAATATTAATATTACTTTATACAACTCCTACCCTATTCAATAATTATAAATTAAAATTTTTTAATTAAAATCATTTAAATATAAATATTTTTATCAGATCATCTAACGATTTTAATTTTTATCAACAAATCACTTTTAAAATGGGCTCAACACAACAGGCCACTCTGTTAGCCCGTAAAGTTTTACAAAATGGGCTATCAAAATTAGCCCATTTTATATACAAGCTGGGTTGGCCTCTTTTTTTTTTTTTTTTTTTAAAATGCTGTTGCATCACTTGCCTGCCCACTTTCCCTCCCTTCAATTGCCGCGACCCTAACTAATTCATAATCGCTTCATTTGGTGCCCTCATCTGCCCTAAGTTGAATCTCCATGACGGCGCGGCTCTTGTCCTCCTCCAGGCCACCAGTCCAGTCTTGCGATATCCCCCACCTTCGACTCTCTTCGAGTTTACCTTGTCTTCTCAAGCTCATCGCCGCCACGTGAGTTCACGGTGAAGCTTCCACTTACAGTCATAGAGCTCCAATCTGCGCGGCTCGACTGAGAGCTTGAGACACTGAACAGAGGCTTCTATTCGTCGCTGTCGAGTGTGTCCACGCCTCCACGGTGTCGCCCAGGAAAGTCTCTTCCCCTTGCCCGAACCGTTATAATTTTACGATAAGTTAGTAATGAAAACGAAGCCATTAAGCTTTCGACCCATTTAATTGTAGTGGATCCTCTCGTATGTGAAATCTGAAACTATGAGCCCATTTTGGTTTTGTTAGAAATTCCCTCGATACGTGGTTGTCCTTGCTGACCACCCTGTTGTTTGAAGGCACAGTGGCGGTTGTGCGGCCAGCCTGCTCTTCCGCATCAGGTATGTTTAACAAATCCCGCAACATTTTCGTTCACAATCTAGATGCTGTTTTTGCTGATCGCGAGTTCAATCTTCACGTGAAAAAATCTATAAGTAGCCTCAAAGTAGTATGGAGGAAAGACCCTGAACTGGACCTAGCGATAGAGAAGGACAAGCGATATAAGCTCTGCGCTCGTGTTGTTAAGGAGGTTCTTAATGAACCAGGTCAAGTAATCCCATTGCGATATCTTGAGAAACGACGTGAGAGGATGCGTCTTAATGTTGAGATTACAACCTTTTTAAACCAAAACCCTGGCCTGTTTGATGTCTACTATGATCGTATCAAACCAAAATCGGATCGCGTTCCCTTTCTAAGGGTTAGCGATCGGCTTAGAAATTTTCTGGATGAAGAAAAAAGGGTTTATAGAGAAAACGAGCCCTTGATCGTGTCGAAGTTGTGTAAATTGTTAATGATGTCGAAGAACAAGGTGATTAGTGCAGATAAATTGCTTCACGTGAAGAGGGAATTTGGGTTCCCGAATGATTTTTTAGTTAATTTGATTCCTCAGTATCCGCAGTATTTTAGGCTAATTGGGTGTCCTGGGGAGGAAAAATCATTTATTGAATTGGTTTCATGGAACCCCGAATTTGCAAAATCTGTTATTGAGCAAAGGGCTGAAGAGGAGACGAAATTGACGGGGATTAGGGTTCGGCCAAATTTCAATGTGAAGCTTCCTCCAGGTTTTTTCTTAAGGAAAGAGATGAGAGAGTGGACTAGAGATTGGATGGAGCTTGATTACATATCGCCATATGAGGACGTGTCCCATTTGGACCAAGCATCACGAGAAATGGAGAAGAGGACGGTTGGGGTATTCCACGAGTTGCTTTCTCTTTCATTGTATAAAAGGATTCCAGTGCCAATACTGGGAAAGTTTTGTGACGAATATAGGTTTTCAAATGCATTTTCGAGTGCATTTACAAGGCACTCGGGGATTTTCTATGTTTCCTTAAAAGGAGGGATTAAAACAACAATGTTGAGAGAAGCTTACAAAAATGGTGAGTTGATTGATCGAGATCCACTGCTTGAGATCAAAGCTAAATTTGCTGAGTTGTTGCAAGACGGTTGGCAGCAAAGAGCAGAGGACTTGCGTTTGCGAGGAGAACAAATTAAGGAAGACATGAAAATTTTAGCTGCGAAAGCGAGTGAATAAATTAAGAATGACATGGAAATTTCAGCTGTGAAAGATAGTGAATATAAAAAGGGCGTTATTGAAGTATGAAAGGCTTATAGCGGCAGATGGCCTTGGTAACCGTAAGAAGAAAGGCAGGTAAATTGAGATTAAGCTTTATATATTATTATATATGTCGAGATTGTAGTTAATACCCTGTTATAAATGTTTTTTTTTCTAATAAAGAAAGCTGTAAGTTTGCTGTAGAGTAATTTTATTTAGTGATTCACATTTTTCTTGGTCCATGTTGTTGAGGTCAATTTCATCATGTTTGTAGAGCAATGAAACTTTGAAAGATTGCGGTTTGAATCATATGCACTTTCACTTGCAGTGTTGCTGACTTGATTTGGAAACGACAAATTGACTTTCCAATTTGAGAACTTGAGTCGAAGTCCAACTTCATCTTGGTAAGATGGGCTTAATTCATGAACTTGTCCACGCTGCTTTATTAACCTACTCCTCTGGTCATATCTTCCAACGTGTTTCAGAAATAAGTAAAATCTAAAAATTGAAAAACTTTTTTATTTTGTCACTATCAAATATACGTATTTTAATATGATATTTGCTCTTTTTAACATTTAATAAAAAAGTAAAGAGTAATTTATGAGATATTATTGTAAATAGGTAAAAAAAAAAATCTTCTCTTCCTGTTCTATAAACAGGAGAGGAGGGAGCATACAACGAATCCCCTTTTTCTGCTTTCACATTTGAGCATTTTCAATCATTGTTGAATGGCGTGCTATAAGAAGTCAATGACATGGTATGCTAGTGATGTAGTAGGATTAAAGCGCAATGAAACTCTTTGGGAGACGTGTAAGAAGTATTGTCTATGCTAATGATGAATATCTGGTGTTTGATTACTCTCTGATACGCTGAAGTCGGATTACTCTAGTCTGAGTGGAAAACTTGTCTGCTGCCACGCCTCGGCCTCAGAGCAGCGATGCAGCAATTGTTTACCTGGCAATGATCCAAAGTTCGTTGGGAGGTCATGCAAGTTTCATGAAGAGGGTTGTCGTAGCCAAATGATTCAATGGAAAACCATTTCCTACTAAATCATGTCCTCATAGGATCTGTCTGTTTATTTGCGGTTTATATCTCAACCATCCTTTCCCTCACACTCTTCCCTGATGTTGGAGTTGTTCTTTAAATTTTAAAATGAGTCTGGAAGCAGGTTGGTGGTGCGATACTGATTAAGGTAACTTTGCATGCCACCTACAAAGTCGTCACACACAATGGATGAAGAATGTAAACGAGTAATCCATAACCATTCTCTTGGCAATAAACAACCCGATGGGATCGAGAAGCATACGGGTATGCAAGTATTTAAGCAGGATTACGGGGTCGTAGGGGCATTGAAAATTTTTTCCAGTTTCTGAAACATTAGCCCAAGAGAGAGAGAAAATCAAGCATGGAGAAAGTGGTGGCTTTTAGGTTAATAACAATGACTGACATTTCTGGCATTAGTGCCGATGAGGGAGAGCCATGTTGTTGTGACATCGCCTGAACCTCGCCCACTCTGTGCAACCCAGTTTTCCCTAGTGAACTATGCTTGCTCATCACTGCCATTCGTGCGAAGGCCCCCAAGTTTACCTGCACACCCCGATGACCAAGAACATGGCCATGCCCATCGCCACGGGCACCATCACCGGCACCGGCAGCCCAGTCCTCAAGAAGAAAACTGCTGCCGGTGGGCTAAGAATGTAGAGGGTCAATGTGTGTGTGAACTTCTGCTTCACTTTCGCTTGCCCACCTTTCTTACGAGGCCATCGCATCAGTACTCGCTCACCGTTGGAGAATCCTGCGAGGTCACTTACTCGTGCGGTGGCCCCATTTGATTCGCGAGTTTGAACCGTACGACTAGCCGGAAAATGATTTAACGCGGTAGCGTTCCGTTTTAGGTGTTTTGAAGCTTTGCTCATCTGTCGTCTTTAGTCTTTTTTGCCTTTTGTTGTTATTCACATTTGGCTGGTGTGTACTTCCTTTCTCACTGTGCCATCTAAAATTGGGAATGAGTCCCAAGTGTGTTGGGAAAGTGTGGTGCTTTTAGCGACAATAATATACCACGTGAACAATTACAAAAACTGTTTAACGTCAAAATCTCCAATGAATTACTGTAAAAATGACGACCCTTGAGAAGGTCCAAGAGCAAAGAATCAAAATTAAGCACAAGCACGCGACTCACTGGAAGATTCGTATTTGATAAGAAGCTTGCGTCACTAGGTAGGGGCAGTTGGCGCAGTGACGTGCTTAAAAGACGTAGCTTTCCACTCTACAAAGACGGTGATTCCAGTACCTAGAGGTTTTTCGACTTGAGCGTTCACTTTGATCCTCTGCAAGTGGTTATTAATTTCCTCTTTCACACTCTTTCCACATTCCCCTCGTAATTAAGTATATATCAGTGGTGCTACCTTCATCAAGCTTCAATGAATCCGCTAATGCAACAATTAGCTTTTGAGTTAAATGAGACTTCGTTTCGGTAGCCATTAAAATGCACGAAGTTGATGGAGGATATGTGACGTCGTGTGGTTGATGAAGATGGTGTTTGGAGGTAGCGGGACTACTGCTTTGACCAAAAGCTGAGGTAACTCAACTTGCAGCAATGGGGGAAGGCGTGTGGGAATCCAAATCAAAAGAAAGATAAATTAATAAATGACATTATCGGGGAGGAGCAAGACAAAAAGTAAAGGCGTTTTATGCGTTGTTTGGAAAAAAAGGATTATATACTCTGCTTGGACCATTTTTCAATTGAAAAAGAAATCACATCTCACTGTGGACCAAAGAAAAAAATACGGTGCCTGCAGGAAAACGACAAATTACTCAATTATATCCTTCTCAAGGGCCGCTTTTCATCCAACATTGTTCAGTAATTCCAAACCAAAATTCCATATTTAAAAACTCCAGCTGCTGTAGAGTCATAACTAAACGAGTAAACGAGTAAATTTCGCTACATCTCAAGAGTCTCATTAGAGCTATGCAATTTTTTTAAAATTTCCAAGCTAATACAAATATTTTTTATTCTATTAAATATATATAGATCACTATTCGATTCTCAAAATGCATCCCAACCTCATTTTAAGCAAATAACAAATTAAATATGCATCTCTAATTTTTTAAAATATATACATATTTCTTGGGCAAGGAGAATATTTGAAAACTAAAAAAAATTAACATGTTGAAATAGGTATAATTAAAAATGGCACAATTGAATTTATTAGTATTAAAAGTTTTTAAAAAAAATTATAACCAGAGTTCACATAAAAATAATTAATTATTACAAAATGTATTGATAATTGAAAGGATGTTGTTAATAAATTTTATAATAATAATTTTTTAATGTGAAATTTTAATATACTGTTTTTTTTTTACATTAAAAAATGGGTGAAAAGAGAAGATGAGAAAACAAAGGAGGAGGGAATGTGGTCCCAAGAGAGCTTATCCAGGATTAGGAAATAGGACTGGGACGGGACCGGATCGGCGCATCCCTTCAAGTTCGTGTACGGAAAGTGGCGTAACTTTCTCTCTCTCTCTCTCTCTCTCTCTCTAAGCTTAACCCTCTGCGGCCTTTCCACCTCTCGCTGTACGGCCTTTTTAAAAAACACCTCATAGGAAATGACGCCGTTTTGCTCCTCGCATCTCATTTAGCCTTAGTGCGAAGATCGTCGCCCAGTTTCTTCGCAACTCGACAACGACGAAGAGTGGGGTGGCTAGGGGGGCTGAGGTTGGCGTCCCTGGAGAGCGCCGTTGCTTCGTCGTCTCAACTTCAGTCTCTGGGTCCTGGGGCACCCGTGCCCTGTCCGATGAATTTTGACCCTTTTTATATTTACATCAATTAAAAAAAAATAAAAATTTAAAAATCACGCTCCATGAGAAGCTTTATCGTTTTGCTGTAAACTGTATTATTCAAAAAAAAAAAGGTTTAATATAATAATTAATATGCAGTGATATTAATAAAAAAAAATTAGATTTGAAAGGAAGGTGGAAGTAAGAGGTGTCAGGTGTGGTCGTGTGAGTGTATTAGGAGTTTAGGACTTGAGAAGAGGAGGAGAATATGAAGGTTAGATTTAAAAATCTAGCATTCCACCCACACGATCACACTTGACACCTTTCACCTCTATTTTTTTTTCAAATTCAATCTCTTCTTATTAATATCACCGTATATTAATTATTATATTAAATTATTTTTTTATAAATAATATAATTTACAGCAAAACGGTCAAGTTTTTTATGGAGTGTGATTTTTAAATTTTTAATTTTTTTATTGATGTAAATATAAAAAGGGTTAAAATTCATCGGACAGGGCACGGGAGTGCCCCAGACCCAGAGACTGAAGTTGAGACGACGAAGCAACGGCGCTCTCCAGGGACGCCAACCTCAGCCCCCCCAGCCACCCCACTCTTCGTCGTTGTCGAGTTGCGAAGAAACTGGGCGACGATCTTCGCACTTGGCTTTGCCACCAACTTCCTCCACTCCTCATTCTCCTCTCCTTCTTCCCCACGCTTCCGGAGCACCGACGTCGCATCCACGTGATGCATCTTCCATCTCTTCACGCTCCACAGGCTCTGGATCTTCCCTAGCTGTTTTTCCGCCAATTTCCACGTGTTCTCCTTCATCTCCCTCATCGCTTCTTCTAGCAGCCTCCGCCTCGTCTCCTCGTCCGCACTTGCTTCCTTTCGAAAATATTTATCAAATTTTGGAACTCCGATTGCCTTCTTGATCCCTCGTGAATAGTCCCCTTTTGGATTATAAAACGGCCTCAATTCATTCACCATTCCTTTCTCCAGCATCTGATCCACCCGTTGTGCCACGTACGAATAAAGATCTGGCAAGCCCGCGTCTACCCAGACGCAGCAGAAATACGTACCTTGATCGGAATTTATAATCGTCGTCGTCGATTAAAGCCTCCAGGAACGATTTCGAGCCTCCGACGATGATCGGAAGCTTTCCACGACCCCTGATTGTCTCAATGGCGAGCGAGGCCATGTCACAGAAATTGTTCGCCGTGAATTCCGAGTTGGAATTCTATGCCCCTAGTAAATGGTGAAGAACACCGCGTTGTTTTTCCTCGGTGATCTTGTTTGTCACTATGTCGAGTCCTTCGTACACTTGCATTTTATCGGAGTTGATGATCTCCGCCGGAAAATGGGTGGCGAGGGTGATGGAGAGACGAGACTTGCCGGCGCCGGTGGCTCCTGTCACCAGCACAACCTTCTCCTTCTGCCGTGGAAGAGAGGTAACGTTTATTTTTGGGCTAACAGAAGAAATATTTATTAGTGGTTGTGTTAGTCTGCACATTACCATAGAGATGGTCATGGCGAATAAGGAAGAAATTTTGTTATTGCTCACACTAAAGTTGGCACCTCTCTCACTCTCTCAGCGGGAATGAGGAAGAAATCTAGTCAAAGGAGAACAGATGATTAACAGAAGAAACCAAGAGAAGTAAGACTGATCAATGAGGAAAAAGTCCCATTATTTCTTAATTTAGAGAGCTGACACAAGAACTGGTCAAGGTTGATTTGTGAGAAGAGAATGAGTGTGGTATTTATAGCGTGCGTCAAAAGGGTCACTCTCTGCCGCTGTTAGTGGACTTGCATTTCTCGTTAAAGCAAGAATTATTAAATGGTCAACTAGGAAAAGTGGCGTTGCCAAATATTCTGCCCAATAACTCTCTGTCCCAATGTGTTTAATTTTAGCTTTATGCCATATGAATGGCCATGGCTTCAATTGAGCCATTGCTGAAAGAGGACCTGCGAGGCCGTGGTGTACGTCCAGGTAATTAGACTCAGTGGGCATAGGGAGGTTCTTTTCAATTTTCGTAGTGGGCTCATTTTGTGGAAAAAACAGAAAATTGCATTAGAATATGGATATTGATGAGGTCTTTCTAATTATTCCATTTTGTTTGTAGGTTACGGTTTTTGTCTTGTATATCCTTTCTTTGCTAGCTATCTAATAATATCTAGCAACTACAACCACGCACTTTCCCACGAAATTCCATCTCACAAGATAGGCTTAAATATATATGATGCAACTCTTACTCTGTACAAGTGTAAAATATTTGAATCCACATTGAGATTTCAAAGTTCTCAAAACCCATTAGAAAAATTCGAGGTGGGAGACTGGGTGTCAAGAGAAGAGAAGATTATTTATCGATTATTTTCAAATATCTAATATATATATGTATGTATAAGATGGCCCTCCAACTAGTATTAAACATTTGGACAACACAGAGCTAAGAATGCCTCTACTTTCGCTTCCTTTCTTCATCAGCTCCATCTCTTCATTCCTTCATTCCTTCTCTGTTCCTTCCCAGGCTTCCTCCTCAAGTGGCCATGCTATTCAAATTTCATCACATAACAGGTTACCGCCTATTTATTTATTTATTTGTGTTTTTTATCCTTGTTGTTTCTCTTATTTGACCAGTTCTTAAACTTTTCTAATGCATTTTTTGCGAAGAGCCTCAAATTTAATTTCACCACACACCATATACGCATATGTAGTTGGCTTGTTACTTACTTTGGTGGAAATAAAGTACCAAGGATCCATCAACAACCCTTTCCATGACCACCCTTCCATCATGCTGCTTTTCCTCATCACACAATTTGTCTACGTCATTTCCCTCTTCACCTTTCTATTTGATTGACTCAATGAACGCTCACGCAATTTTAACATTGTGGTTTGCCATGTTTTTGGAACTCTGGCCTGTCAGCTGCTTCTGCTGGTCCTCGTCTCTCCTGTCAAGTGGTTCCTCGTCAACGTGTCTTCGCTGGTACTGGTCGTGGCCACATTCTTGTGTTACAGTTATCTCTTGCATCTCCTCAACAATGCTTCCCAAACACAAAGGTTGGAGATTGATCGCAATGGAGATGGACAGGCTACTGAGATGGTGGATGTGGAAGCTGAAGTGACTTCCTCTTCTTGATTTTGCATCCAAAAGAGAATAATAATAAAGTCATGGGGTACTATTACTTGGTTGTTTGTAGCGTGGCATACCTCTGTAACGAACAGGGGGTTTTTTTTTTGTATGGACCAGCCGATCAGGGTTCTTCGTTATATATTGGTCAAATATTATAAACAAAATTGGAGGACCGCACATTCTTGAAATTTCGTCATTTAGAGTCGAGTCAGCCCCTTGTTTAAATTTTAAGCGAGTCCTGGCCCGTTTTTGTGTTCCTTTCATCTATAGCGAATGGACTTCATTAGAAATCAAATCTAGCCCACATATTTGCCTTATTAGGATGGTGGGTAATTTAGTCATTTGGATGACTTACCCTTAGGCTATGGAAACCCGGTCAAGATTCTTGTTCATTGCTTTTGTTATGTTCTTTCGTTTCGTCTTCCGTCTGGTTGTGTGTTTCTAGTCTTTTGAGTCTCAGAAGTATGTATTTGAGCTGGACTGTAGTTTGGGCCTTTTAGTGTTGGTACTGATAATTTATTGAACTCGTTATATTGCATATATGAATTGTCTCGGTTCAAAACAACCATAATTATTAAAAAACTATATGCTGAAAAAGCCATGACCTTTTCAAGTGAAATAGGCTATATGAACTTTGCTTCATGCTATGTCAGAATGCGATACAAAATTCAAATAATATGTTCAAGCAAACTTGCAAATTTTGACATTACCTTTCCAATAGGATAAGCGATTGGATACCAGATTATCATCAGAAATACGCACCACCCCCACAAAATTTGCGCCTACAGAGAGCCTAAATCTTGAGCATATAGCTTGTGGGATAACCTGAGCTCAAATTTCATACAGTTAGCAGATATGAAATGCTCCAATATCTGTGTATAGTGCTGGGTTGGGAAAACACGTATGTTTTACCTCTCCAAAAGCCAGAACAAATGTTACAGACAATATTACTGCCACAAGAGGGTGAAAATTTTTGTCAAGGTAAATTGGAACTGCCTGCAGAGGAAAAACCAAAGATAAATACAGGACAGGAGGATCTATCAGTGGAAAATTGGAAAGCCAGATAAACAACAGGAGGGTTAAGTATATTTTATCTTATGCACAAAGGTGTCCTACTATTAGAAGAAATATTGTTTAAAACACAGTTGGGTACTAAGTGCGGGAACTTGTCCTATCGGAGATGCAAAATTTACGCGCGGGGACTTTTCCTACAAGAGATTCAAACTTCATTGTAAAGGTCCGCTAGATCCAATTCGATGGGGTTTGAATATATTTTCAGTTCAATATTTGTCAAACTCGGCATCTTTCAGCATCTTTGTACCTGAATGACTGATAACTGACTATCTAGTAACAAGGACGTTCTTTAATTAAGGGGAAAAGGAACCATCTAGAACCTAATGACCCTACATTTAGGAACATTTGGTAATTTTCATATTCCAATAATAATATGTACTAATAAGCAACAGCCTACAGAACAAGTGAAGGACGTTACAGGTCAGTTACGAGTGATCCAAGAACTAGCAAGAGAATATTGTCATAGCTTCAGATTTGCGATGAGAAATGCGTTGATTGTTCAGAATATGCAAACGGATATATGCCAGCAAGAGACAAATGTCGGTTACTATCCGGATACTACTGTCAGTACGTACTGTATTCTCAGACTGTTTTCATTACTGAGGAATGAGTGTTCAGTTCTGGCCACTTGCTTTCGAATAAGCCAGAAGCAAGATAACTTCCGAAATAACTAAGTAGGAGCATAGTAGAGCCAAAAAGATAAAAAGAAGTAAATAAGTAGTGATTCGCGGATACCTCCATGGCACAAGCATTGCAGAGAAGCAAAGTAACGAGCAGTTGATGCTGCTTCTGAACAACTGGTAATATAGCAGCTATATGAAATGGAATATCCCAGGGAGGCCCGGCGGGGGGATAAAAAGTAGAAGACAACGGCTTAATTAATAATCTCTCTCGCACAGCGTACAAAGACAGCAACATGCATATAGGACTAAGGAGCTAGGTTGACGTACCTGCTTGCTTTTTCTCTGTGGTGGTGCCACTGCGCTGGAGAATTTCAAGGTCAACGATGCCCAGAGACATAAGGCCGAGGGTGAGACCAGACATGATGCCAGCGAAGAGGACGAGAAGGCAAGAAACCCCAGCATAAACGAACCACCATAAGGTCTCGAACTCAATATCCTCTGCATCGTATACGATGTGGTCCGGCGACAACTTCGTCCCAGCGAGCTTCAATCTCAGGGAATTCAGCGGCAACATAGTGGCCGAGACGAAAACAATGATGGTAGCTAAAAGAGGTAGTAGCACAGTGCATGAAACGACCCAAATGAATATTGTATTGAATTATATAAAGGGCCTCACGGGGTGATTTAAATATGGCGAGAGGCATGAACACATCATTGCATTTACATAATGCACTTCTATCCAGTGCGTGGGCTTCAATAATTCATTCTACCAACTACCGTTTGATAGTGGACGTGGGCTCCACCGTCCCATGCTGATAAACGGTCGACGTTTGCGCGTTTCAAATATGTGCTCCAGAAGCTGTCGTTTTTCTAATTACGTTGGTGTCACTGCGCGTGAAAGCGAAACAATAATGTACGTTCATGCAAATAGGGCAGCAAACTCCGTTTGTTTTTAGCCAGTGTATCTTACTAAGGAAACACATCGATTGGCCTGAATATTGCTTGAACTTGCACATCCACATAACTGTATTATCCTAATTACTAACTAGATCATGTATTTTGTCAATTTCTTTTATTTAGTTTTTTTGGCTCTCAGCTATTCATTTTTGGCTTAATTTAAACTAATTGCTGTAATGAAATCATCACTGATTGTATGAGCTGGTGGCTGACGAGATTTTTCGGTAATGCGCAATAAGTTTTTCAATAAGATGCATGCGTGGTTTAAGGACACAGAGTTTTATATGTGTACTTGGTATTTCTTATAAATCACTTTAGTTACGTTTGGTTATTAAAATAAAATAAAATAAAAAATAAAAATAAAAATAAAATTATCAAAAAAAATTGTGAATTACATTCATAAAAAAAAGATAATTTAGTTAATAAAATTGATAATTATAATTCATAAAATTTTTAAAAGGTATGATGATTCTCACATTTATCATATATATTAATAATTTTTATCATATTTACTAAAAGGAGGAAATTTTTATATTTATTTTTTTTAATTCATTCTATTCTTTTCCTTTCTATTAACCAAGCGTTACTTTCATGCTTTGGTCATTATTAATTCATCTCAAATATTTTTATTGCTCTGTAGTACTATTGTAACATATGGATGGGATGACTTGAAGCACGCGCCAAGTAGCTCAGAAATTATTTTATCACGGTTTCAAAAAATATATGTACCTGCTGATGAAATGAGCGTGATTAATTTTTTTATGGAAGAAGTCCACCTAACCTCTGATTTTGTTGTGTTATTGTTACTCTTTTTACAGCGAAAATAATGCCGACGTCCCCGCATTTTCAGGAAGCAATCGCTTATAGGGTGTGTTCGAATTTTAATTGACAAAATTTAATGATAAAAAAATTGATTAATAAAATGTGATTACATTTTGATATTATCTTCTGAAATTAATTTTGATAATTAAAAAATATTTGGATAATTTTTCATAATCGATTGTAAAGATGGGGGAAAATAGAAAATGCTCAAATGTTAAGAGTTGATTTTTATATTGAAAAACAAAATGAAGTTTCACAAGTCAAATGAAAATTTGCAAAATCATGAGTATTTGGATGAGCTTTTGCAAAACTATGATCTCAGTGCCTAGAATTAATTTCAAATGGAAATCTAAATAGGCCATTAAGAATGCTCAAAATTAAGTTTTGAAGGCCAAACTCCCTTAAGCCGAAAATGGAAACCAAACATTATTTACATTGACGGAATGCAATTCATTCTCCAGAACCCAGTTTGAGTATGGAAGCAGCGGGGGTTGATTCTGCATTTGTAGTTTGGGAGACGTATTTAAGGACTCTTTAAAAAAATTATTCCCAAATAAAAATTCATACAGAATAAATTATTGTTAAAATGAAAGTGTAACTTATTCTTTCTCAAATGAAACTTATTGTTGATCTTTGTTTATGGATAATTTCTTTAAGAGATTTTTAGATGCGATTCTCCTCCATAGTTTTGCTGTGGGAGAGATTTTAAAGCTAATTTTCAAAATCTTGGATGATGATATAGAGCCTGTTTGACAATATATTTTGAAAAAAGTTTTATGTTCTTTAAAATAAAAAATAAAAAAAATTTGTTTGGTAATGTATTTGTAAAAAGTATTATAAAAAATAAAAAATAGAATATTATTTTGAAGAATAAAAATAAAAATATTTTTTAGATGTTCTGGAATGATTATTTTAGAAAAAAGGGAGAATTAAAGGATTTTATTTTTATTTTTTTCATTCTCAAAACATATTCTATAAAATATCAATTTTTAAAATAATAAAATAAAAATAGTGTCAAATAAGCCCATAGTACCCTTTACCTTTCTTTCTTAGATTCGCATTCGATGCCGTGTGCTAACCAGGGCCAAGAGTAATCCTAGCTCTCCATTTCAATCTAAATTGATCTTTATTGTTTATTTAATTTTATTTGTTAATATTTTTAATATTATATTTATTAATATAAAATTTTCAAAAATTTAATAAATATGTTTATTATCAATTTAACCAATACGGATTTAATCTAGCCATTTGACATTAAAAAATTAAAATTTTACATTTTGAATATCCAGATAAATTTTGGATAGTTTAGATATAATCTATATGACCTAATTTAATATTAAAATATTTATAAATTTTACAAATTAAATAATTAAATAGTGCAGATTTAATATTAAACTTTTTTATTTTTATTTTAATAAATATAATATTAAAAATAGTTAAAAATTAATTTAAAAGAATGGCAAATATTATTTTAAGCTAAAATGGAGGGTTAGGTGAACACTATGATGAGCCTTGAATGAAGATGCTTTCTTTCTCTGGTTCCTCGCTATTCCTTCATGTTTTGCATAGATTTTTCATATGATAATTATGCTACCAAATATAACTTGTAAAGTACCCGTGTGATGCACGGGTTATATACAATAATTTTTTAATGAGTAACATATTTATCATTTATGATGAATTAAAGTTTTTATAAATAAATGTCAATCTTGTGAAAAGATTTTTCTTAAAAGAATAACTTATAGCATATCATCTCTAATACTCCATATCATCATAAATGTAGTGGAGCTATATAATTATCATTTTTAATGTTAAATATGCATATTAGTATTAAGTCAATGTAAAAACTAAATGAATATAGTGTGAATGGATACAATAAGCATATTCATAAAAATTTATAATTAATTAGACCAAATTATCGAAAACTTCCCTATAAACAACATTAAAAGTTTTGTCTATGGATTGACCGTTCTCATCAAGAATCAATATTTTTAAACCTTCCCTACTTCAAACACAAGAAACAACAACATATAATTGTGAAAATAGGACGAGACAAGTACAAACAGACATTACACAGGCTCTGGCCTTGACTTTTATTAATGATCATTGCAAAAGCCAACATAATAGGAAATTAATTCCTTTTCAAAGTAAATGGAAACCTAGAATTAGATGGACATATAGCAATACGAGGTATACATACTTTTATCCTTATAGTTGACTCAGACATTTCTTGGGCTTCAATAACATGTTTTTTCGATTCTTGTAACTATGAGACGTGTACCATTGCACAATCCCATAGACTTATTAATGTTTTGCATCAAAATAATTGGGGCACTGACTTTCAATCTTATTTCATGATTCGAGAGTCCTGACATCAGAATTGAATTTAGAAAATCTGTAGAGTGCAAGTCATTGAGTGAATTTATGTCCCCATCATCTTTTACAACACTATCAAAACTCAAGTATACAACTTCCTCTCCAAGGATCATGAATAACATGTATTTTTAAACTTCTAACCACAGCCAATGTAGGGACTAAGATAGCTCTCTCTCTAAAATATGAAGAATTATTGATATTGTTAAGGAAATTTGAGAAAGTTGAATCAACAATAGACTTTATTGGATTTTCTAAACCATCCAATAATAAATTAGTTGGGATCTTAATATCCACAGATTATTCATTAACTCCAACAGCAGTCCCATCACCAATTGAGATAATCTAATCAGCAAAATCTTAAATATCACTGTTAGATGCCATATTATTTGTTGCCATAAGTCTCATGTTTCTTGTTAATGTAAGAAGTTAACAATTATTCCATATGTATGAAGAGTTAATGGTAGCAAAAACAATCTCTTTTTTGGATCCACTTAGAATAATAGAAAAGATCTGCTGAAGTCTCCGCCAAACACAACAACTTTTCCTCTAAATGAAAGATTGCAGTTAATGGGTTACTAAATTTTAAAATATCTTTCAAGCATTTATCAAGAGCTTCAAAATAAAACTTGTGTGCCATTGAAGCCTTATCTCATATAATTAATGACGTGTGAACTAATAATTTAGCTAAGTTACTTCCTTATTTTATGCTACATATAGTGTCTTCTGTCACAAAAAGTGAAATGCAAAATTGTGAGTGAGCTATTCATCCTCCTGGAAGCAATAAAGAAACTATCCCACTTGATGCTACATTGAGAATAATTTTACCTCTAAATCTTAATGAAGTATATAGTGTCTTCCAAACATATATTTTTCCAATACCACCATATCCGTAGAGGAAAAAAAAACTCCTCCTTTGTTAGATGTAATAGCACTCATGATTTTATTATAAATTATCTTTTACTTAAGTGTTAGTGTCTGCAACAACCTTGCCAATTCAGTAGATAACACAACCCTATCATAATTTAGTTCGTTTCTTATGAGCTTGTTCTCACTTACATCCAAGCTTGCTATGTCAGGTAAAGGCATAGGCTCAAAATCTATGAGACTTTTCCCATTAGATTAAAGTATTTTCACAATCTCAATCAATGTAAAGTTGTGTAAATTAGCATCATCTAATTGTAATCCTATGAAAATATTGTTGTTACATCAGCAATATTGTTTGATAATTTATATAAACTTTATTACTACTATTAGATTGTAGAAAAAAAATTAAAGAATGCAAATGTAATTACTATATACCGTGGTGTCCAGTAATATTTTCTTTGCCTGTACACAATATCATCTAATAAGAAGACCATGTAATATCCCATACAACCTTTGGTCGAGAGAAAGAATTGCAGATATGAGCAGTATAAAACAGCCTTCTTAGAAATTGTCCAAATGCCCATTGGCTTGCTTCTATAATACCATCAATATATTCTTT